ATGTCACTGTCCTGTCCCTGCTGTCCTGCCATCGAGTATCGGCCACTGCTGTCGCCCTAAGGCCCACGGCAGGGCCTGGCCCCTGGCAGCCACTCTGTAAATATTAGCTGGGTGAGTGAGCGATGGACGAACCTTGGTCCCTGCGAATAAAAGGGGGACTGGTACGCCCTCCCCGTGCTCCACACAGTGCCACCGCTGAGGGGCCACTGACTCGGTAACCCGTGGCAACCCCCACATGGGCCATCACTGCCCTGCTGCACAGACGGGGACATGGAGGCAGTGAGAGTGACTGGCTGCAAGGACACAGCTGGTAGCATAGGCCTGGGACCCCGCAGTCCAGCCACGCAGCGGGGCAGGCCTTGGGGGCCCCTCCCGTGCCCCCACTCTACACCTGCGGCCACTGCTGAGGCTGGCACCTGCAGTCACGCCCAGCAGGGCCAGTGGGTGCAAGCATGCACAGGACGCGGCTGCAGCCTCCCCATGGGTCCCCGAGTGCCATCGCCTGCCCTCGGCTCGCAGGCCTCCCAGGGCGGGGTGTTCATGACGCTCCCCGAGAGCCGCGGCCACGCACCAGTTCTGCGTTCTCCACACGTGGACCCACTCCGCCGCGGGCCTCTGGCTCCGGGAGCCCTAAGTATCCCCTAAGACGTCTCTGCTCCCTCTCTTTGGGCCGAACCTCCAGAAGGAACCCTCGCTCCCCACTGGCAGCACAGGGTGGGGGACCTCCCTCCCGCTCCCCTTCTCAGGGCCCAGCTCGGGTCCCTCCTCTGACCCTCACCCGAGAACACATAGCTCTCCCTTCAGAGCACCTCAGCACCAGCCTGGTGTCTGTGTGGTGGGAAGGTCCCTGGGGCCCATCTGTGGGGACACAGAGGCCAGGCAGACCACTGGGCATCCCTAGAGGCTTGGGGACACTGACACGCCCTGACACCATGCACTCTTGGACCAGCCTGGCCCCACCTGTAGGGAATGCTGGAACCGGGGGCCTAGAGTCTCCGAGTAGACTTGCGATTGCTTTGGGCCAGGCAGGCTGTCAAACGGGACAAGACCCCACTGTCCCAGCCTCGGCTTCCCCACCCTCAGGTAACGGGCACGCACGGGTGGCCTGAGTGGCTGTCTGCCAACTCCGCAGGAGCCCCCGGCCCCGGGACGCCAGCCTGCCCCACGCCATCTGCCTACCCGCAGAAAGTGGCTGCCCAGCCTCGCTCTCAGCGTCCCCTGGCCCTCCTGGCCCCGACTCCGCAGCGCCAGCAGGTCCTTAGGCGCCTGCCCCCACGCGCATCTCCGCCAACCCCAGGTTCTTGTCCCCTGCCGTCACCAAACGTGCCTTTAGAACAGAGCTCGGCGCCGCTGCTTCCTGAATAAACTGGACGACCTACTGCCCTGCACACAGCCCGGGGGAGCCCTGCCTCCTCTCCCTCGCCTCCCCCTGCAGGCTATGCGGCTACTCTGCGATCGCTCCCAGCTCAGGCGCCCCTGGGGCCTCCGAACTGCTTGTTCCACCTGCCTAGACGCTCCTGCCCTAGAGGCCCGCATCGTCATGCACACAGCCGCCTGTGGCTCAGCCCCAAGGGTCCCCTCGACTGTCCCATCCTGCCCTGACCTCTGCTGGGGTGACCCCTTCGCTCCCCCACATCTCGCTCACCGTCTCACATAACTTTAAGTGAGGGATGCACAGAGTTAAGAACGGCCATGTTGAAATTAAAACTGCAGGTGTCAGGACGGGGCTCTCCGTGTGGCCTATGCTAACACGCTGTGCCCCACAGGCTGGGACCACACGGGAGGCCTGGTTCAATTCCCAGTCCCACGTAAAGGTCTGGCGTGTGGCCCACACCCATGGTCGCAGCTGGGAAGCGGGGCAGGAGAATGGGGGCTCAGCAGGAGCCAGTTTTAAGGGGAAAGAAAGAAAACCTGTAATGACAAAACTCTCAGGACTCAGTCCGGACAACTCAGGACTCACAGCTCACACACGCCGACCGAGCCGTGCGGGAATCCTGACTCAGCCCCGTGTCGAGCAGACACGCTCTCGCGTGGTTTGGGTGCCCAGGCCAGAGGAGCTCGGCAGGCCAGACCCGCTGTGCGACAGTCCCGGCCACCCCGCAGGGCCGCAGTCCGTGTTCCAGCCGGCAGCGCCCCGGGCTATACCTGCGGCCACGCCTCCCTGATCAGAGCTGGCTATTCTACCGACCCAACAGCATCCACGCGCACGGTTCCTGTTCCACTGACGCCCAGGGACCAGACAGGCGTGAGTGTCCCAAACGGTCACATGGCTGTCCAAGTTACGGCCACAGGAAAAACACGACCAGGCCTACTGGGCATGAGGCATGCCAGATGGCCCTGCGGCCGAGCCGAGAGCATGTGTACCCACTCACCAGGGAGAGGGACAGACGGAGAGACGGTCCCCAGGGCATGGCCCCGCCGGGAAGCCCCCATTTTTCCATCCTGCTGGGATTTTGAATGCGCACATGTGTGGCACCCCCTGTGGTTTTTAAAGCTGCTGGGGCCCGGACTCTAAGGGCGGGCCCTGAGGATCTGCCTCCCTTCCCCACTGGGCCACGGGGCCACCTGAGCACCCTGGACTGGCTCACTGTCTTGTTCATATCACACGCTTCTCCAGCCTCAGCTGCCGAGGGCACGAAACGGGTCTACTTCTGAGGCCCCGGGAAACAGGCCTGGCAGCAGCAGGGCTCCGCAGGGCGAGAGCCACAGAGGGCCCCAGCCTTGGCTTGCCCAGAACCCCGCCCAGCCCCAGGAGGCCACAGAAAGGGCTGGGATGGCCTGGCTGGAAACTGTTCCATGTTTGGTCAAGAGGGACTGAGCCACGAACAAGCCCAAGAAGCAAAGGACAAGTACAGGCCGGGCTGACAGGGGACCCTGATGCCAGACACGCTCCACACCCTGCTGACCCCAGGGCAGAATGACCCATGAGGCGCCCGGGGCTGCTATCCTGTACCCGTGAGCTGGAAGCTTCCCTCGGCTGCTCCAGGAGCCACAGAGATCTGCAAGACGGTGGCGAGCGGGTGGCCGGGTGGGGACCTTCATACAGCTCAGAAACCACCACAGAGTGGCCTCCCCTCTGCACACGCTCTGCCCTTTACCCAGTGAAGGACAGACCGCCAGAGTACTCACGGACCAGCTAAGAGCTGCCCACTGAGGCCATACTCAAAAGGATGCCTGGACCTCCGTGCTGACCAACCAAACGCTTGAACGCGGCGATCCCAGTCTAACGCCCCACCACACTGACAGCGCATGTCCCTCGCGAGGCAAGGCCTGTAGTCCCTCTTAGCTGCTGGGTTGCTGGGGACAACAGGAGGTAACCTCCTCCTCAGCTGCAGAAGCCATGCTCCTGTTAATGCGTCCAGAGCAAAAGCCAGCCCCCTTTCATCACCGCGACTCCAACGCCTTGCTCCGGCCTGCAGCACGGCCCTCTCCTCTGCCAAGCCCACGCGATGTGCTGCTCACTGGCATTTTGTCTTCCTTTCTGGCGTCCCTCACGGGGAACTATCATGTCCAACTCCAGAGCCTCCTCCCAGGCCTAACCTAGTGCCCCCGGCTGCCCCACACTGGGCTATGCTAGAGGGACCCTTGGCGTAGACCCCACGACACTCCCAAATGGGCTTACCCTGGTGCCCCAACAAATCCCTGCCTGCCCTGGCCACCCCGACCCTCTGGAGCCTGCTCCCCTCAGCCGGCAACAGCCGCCCACCCCAACCTCTGCACTGCAGCTTCCCCCGCCACCCAAGGTCTGTGTCCCGGGGCCCTGCGCCTCTCCCTGCCCCCCAGGGCTGCTCTGACCCCTCTCCAGCTCCTACCTGGTGGACCCTCGGCCCACCCCGGCCACCGGAGCCCGCCTGCCCCGTCCCAGGCCCGCGGGCCCGTACTCACATTTTGATGTTCTCATGGTACTGGCGCGTGTCGGAGGGCTGGTTATACAGCGGCTGCAAGGGAGAGAGCGTCAGCCCGGGGCCAGGCGGGCAGAGCCCGGGCAGGCAGAGCCCGGGGCCACCTCAGCGTGGAGCCCGAGGCCCTGGCACCCAGGGCCCATCCGCTGAGGTGAGTGATCGCTGCGGGGAGGCATGAAACGGAACACAGGGACCCAGTGTGGCCCCGGCCAGGACAGTTACTGGGCACAGCTTTGGACACCGTGACCCCTGCCTAGGCCGTCCTGGCTGCTCCACGGGACCAGGAAGGGTCCACAGCCTAGAGCACCCGGGGACAGGGCCACCCAGGCCAGGCCAGCCACGGCCACTCAATGTGAGAGCGCTTAGCCTCTCCGGTGACCATGGAAACCACAGCCTCGACACGGAAGATGCACACTCCCTGACACACACCCCCGGCAGAAGACAAGGAAGTCCACCGGGCCAAGCCCCGGTGGGGAAGAAGGTAACCAGAATGCCAGCGCCCTGCAGAGGAAGACATACCGTCCACGCGGGCCAGTGAGGTGACACCCACTACAGGACAAAGCTCCCCCATCTGCCCCAAGGCTGCACAGCGTGGGCACCGAGCGCCACGGGGAGGTGAAC